ACACACACACACACACACACACACACACACACACACACACACACACACACACACACACACACACACACACACACACAACATATGTGAATATCTTCTCCAGCTTTTATATGAGGAGTGGGCAAACTACAGCGTATTCTACAAGTACCAGCCAATCGGACTTGTGCGGTAAGGACATTCCTTAATTTGAAAAATGACATCGCTTTTGCAATGATGCAGCTAGAACAATTGCAATGTGATTAAAGTGCAGACAGGCTTCAATTTAGGGGGTTTATAATACGTTTTCAAATAAACTATTTAGGAATTACAGCCATTTTTATATACTCTAAACCCAGGGGTGGGCAATCTTAGTCCACGAGGGCCGGTGTCCCTGCAGGTTTTAGATGTGTCCTCGAACCAACACAGCTGATTTAAATAGCTAAATTAGCTCCTCAACATGTCCTGAAGTTCTCCAGAGGCCTGGTAACGAATTAATCATGTGATTCAGGTGTGTTGACCCAGGGTGAGATCTAAAACCTGCAGGGACACCGGCCCTCGTGGACTGAGATTGCCCACCCCTGCTCTACACCCCTTCCCTGTTTCAGATACTGTGTTTCTTCCCTTTGAGATGCTTTGCAGGCCTTTACTGCAGCCATCTTCAGTTGCTGCTTAATTGTGGATCTCTCTGTCTTTGGATTTGTCTCTTGTAACTAAAACTCATGTTGGGTTCAGATCAGAGAAGGACCCTGTGCATTTCATTGTTCATCCTGTTGCTTCTAGCAGTCAGATCATCAATAAACACTAGTCACATATACACCCTGGGCTTTCTAACTCGAGACTTTCTCCTTCTACTCCTGCTTCCTCCCTCATACATATAAGATTAATTGGTGATTCTAAACTGGCTGAATGTGAGTTTGATAAAATGTGTAGGATAAAGCACTATATTAATTACTATAACTGCTCAAATATCCACATATTGCATCTGACAACATTACATGGCCATCATCCACCTCCACAATAAGCCACCTCCTGCTTACCACAACCTATACTTCTGGATCAACCATATTAATGAGCTAGAATATAGATGTATACTTATTATAGATATATTGTTAGAGTATGCAGGAAACAATTCACAAGTTCGTTTGTGTCTGTGCAGATAGTGGTAAATAAGGGAAAAACAATATACTACAGTTTCGATTTGTGTAATAAAAATGATTTTTTATCTGTTTCCCCGGGTGTTTAGGAAGTATTTTGGTGAGAAGATTGGGCTGTACTTTGCTTGGCTAGGCCTGTATACCCAGATGCTGATTCCTGCCTCACTAGTGGGGGTCATTGTCTTTTTGTATGGATGTGCCACAGTTGATGACAACATTCCAAGGTAAACAAAAATGCATGTGCAAAAATTCCAGTTCTATGTGATTCTAACTATAATCACCTCAGAGATGTACACATTTAAAGATAAATGAACACAATTTCAGTTGTTTGACAGGTGACAAAAGTTACAGCTGGAAAGCTACAGTGTAGCACTGCAGGAAAAAGATTTAACATTATTTATTTAATTTATTTAACATATGTGTTATTATCACATAGCTGTGATCATAATCTCAACATGATTATTCGCCTCCCTCTTCAAAACATACACATCATAAACATCCACCTGAACAATAGTGTTATAAAAATGGAATATTTTTGGTTTTTAGACTCAGTGTAACAATCTGTGTTATAGCTGGGGTGTACTTTGAAAACAAAGCTTTATTTGTTGCCAGTGAAAAATGTTAAGGACATATGGTAGTTTGTTATCTTTGATCATGCAATCAGATTGTGTGATTACTTCAAGTAAAAAAATAGTTCATAAAAGACAATCATTTTGTATTGAAGACTACAGAGAATCGGGTTGCTGCAGATGGCGGCTCCTGCCTGAGCCTGGCTCCGTCGGAGGTTTCTTTCTGTTAAAAGGAAGTTTTTCCTTCACGCTGTCACCTGCTGGTCACAGAGCTCATGTGTTTGTTGGGTTTTTTTCAGTGTATATTTGTTGGGTCTTCACCTTTAAGTATAAAGCACCTTGAGGCAACTGCTGCTGTGATGTGGCAAACTATAAATAAAATCAAACTGAAGTGAATTGAAATATAACTCATCCATATTTAAAACTATAAATAACAAACTCAAAGTTTTACATATGCACATTGTTTGGTTTTTGTTGTTTCACTCGGTCTATTGTGGTGTGGTGTGGTTTCCATGTGCCATTTGCACCAAATACTGGAGATACAGGTCATCAGTTCAGTTTCAACTTATTATTAATAGAGTTTAATGCACACCTTCTTTATCTTGTGTTGATATCTAGTGCCACTTACCATATTTTTGCCTTGCTCGGAACATTTTACAATATGTAACTGCACACTGTTGATATTGTAGGTACGTAATAGAGTGATGATGCCAAAAAGTCTGAAAACGTTACTCTTTCATTCCCACCCAACCCCTCTTCTAAACGGTTTGTGATTGTTTTCCACAACAAAACACTAAGAATACACTATTGTAAATTTAACACAGAGGCTAAGTAAAGGAAGTTAGCAGTAAAAAGCTATTTAACAGTGTAGGACTTAAAGCGGATGGAAATCAAAAAATGGAAAGAGGAAGTGAAAGTACAACAAGCAGGAGAGAACTGTAAAAGTTTGATGAATTACTACAGAAATGAGGGCCTCCTTTCCTTTCTCCACCTGCTTTTTATCATCCACAGGATATTATGACATGCTGGCAGTGCAAATTTCTATCCAGTGGAGACAAATGCCACTCACTGTAAGTGTCAGAATCCTAACAGAAAGCAAACAGACTGTAACACAAACCAGATGACCCATCTATTCATCAGTGCCTAATGGGATTCTGTTTTAGGAAAATTGAGCTAATAACAGCTGCAAATCTCAAAAAAGAAAAAAACAGAATAGTTACTATCATTATGATAACAAAAATACTTCACATACTTCGACATTTGCTACCAAAGTCAGCCCTGTGACTGATGGCTGTGAGGTAATCACTGATTTAAATGGACATGAGCATCCCATTTTATCAGGTATGTCCTGTTTTTTGTGTGTAAACATGCCAAACATCATATCCCAGTGTATATATTGTCATACTATTACAGTCACATCACTAAGAGCAAAACAAAATTGGAGAAATCCACTATGTAATATGAATGTATCGGATACACTGTTTATAAAAAGGGAAAATCCTCAAGAAAGAGATTTAATCCAGGAAGACCATGTGAAAAAAGTGTATTTCAGTTTAATTTTTTTATATAGCACCAAATCATAACGACAGCAGCCTCACAGTACTTTACATTTTATATGAGAGAGAAACCCCCAGTAACCTGATGAGTCCCCTATGAGCAGCTCTCGGTAATAGTGGAAAGGAAAAACTCACTTTCAACAAGAGAGGAGTCAGACTCAAGAAACAGCAGCGATCTTCCGCTACTTTTTTGGGAGTGTGGAGGATGAGAAAAGAAAAAAAGTGTAAACTATAGAGAGAGAAGATGAAATTTAATAAAATGATCTAGTGGAATAACAATGCACAGGGAGTATAAAGGGGATAAGTGGGGCTGATCTGGGAGCTGGTTCCACAGGACAGGAGCCTGAAAGCTGAAGGCTCTGCCTCCTATTCTGCTTCTAGAAACTGTAGGAACCACAAGTAAGTCAGGAGTCTGAGAGTGAAGGGCTCTGCTGTTTGACCTATGGTGATTTGGGTGATTCTGGGGGTGGAGGTGTCCTCACAGCATCATTTACCACCCTCCTGTCCTTGTCTATGCTTGTGTATTCACCCTTTTGTTAAATGTTTGGTTTCTGGGTTTCATCGTGGTGCATTTTGTTGGCCTTTTGGATATTATACAGCTCACAGGTGTAACTTCACAAATCTGCATACAGTATGCACACATATACACAGAAACAAAATCACCTGCAGATGCAAGACACGTGTTAATACTTTTCTGAGCCCCCCCATCAAAACGAAAAGGAAAAAAACAGAGTGAAGTGCTGTGTTGGAGTGGTAATCAGAGGTTGTTAGGATAAGATGGGGCCTGATTATTTAATATCTCATATGTGACGAGAAAGATTTAGTTTGATTCTGCATTTAACTTAAAATGAAGAGAAGCCTGCATGGAAGAAAGATGTTGTCTCTTTGTACTGCCTGTCAGTATTCCTGCTGTACTCTTGTTATTCAGTTGCCATAACAAATTAAATTTTTGTGTGATTTGAGATTAGCCTAAAGACAGTGTGAGGGTTGCATTAGCAAAGTAGTGGTGGGTTATAATCATGTATTTTACATAATCTAAACAGTGATAAAAACAAAAATACAACTCTGCATGTGCCTTTCTGTTAATTCTAGCATGGAGATTTGTCATCCAAGGAACAACATCACCATGTGTCCACTGTGTGACAGAGTATGCAGCTACTGGAAACTTAGCACCGCCTGTGGGACTGCCCGGGCAAGTCATCTGTTTGACAATCCTGCCACAGTTTTCTTCTCTATATTCATGGCTCTCTGGGGTGAGTGAAGATAGAGAAGGTCATTCAAAAAAACAAAAGTAGAGTATGTGTGTCCGCTTTATAACGTGCTGTTAAAAAGTATACGCCTCTCCCTGATTGCTTTTTCTTTTGCTGTTTTGTCACACTTGTTTTTTAAAGCATCAAACAAATGGCAAAAAAAGGCAACCAGAGTAAATATAAAATGCACTAATTAAATGATGATTTCATTTATTAAAGGGAAAAGGTTACCCAAATCTACCTGTGTATATGTGAGAAAGTAACGACATCAGCCTTCCCCGAGTTAATCTGGAGTCCCTTAGCTTGTTGCACTCAGATTTGATTATTGATAGCCCTTCTTCTGTTTGTTGATCACTTTTCTGGGAGATGTTTTATAAAAGAAATTGAATTGTCTCATGCAGGTGGAACAGTTTTTATTGGCTAGCACTGTCACCTCACAGCAAAAGGTTTTCCAGATTTTCAGGGACTCTGGTTCCCTCCCACAGTCCAAAGACACGCATGTGAAGGGAATTAGTCATTCCAGGATTGGCTGTAAAGCACGAGTGGTTGTTGATCTCTCTATGTGAGACCTTATTTACCCAGCCCACTTGTTGCTTTACCTGCGTCTGCTGTGCTTACCACCAATCGTTCTTGTTCTGTGTAATTTCCAGATTTTATATTTGAAACATGCACATTTTGATGTCTGGTTGCTTCTGCATATTTTCTTACCTCTCTTTTAAAGCTGCCATGTTCATGGAGCATTGGAAAAGGAGGCAGATGAGACTCAACTATGAATGGGACCTTACAGGGTTCGAGGATGAGGAAGTGAGTAATAATAAAACTGCTTTTCTGTGTGAAAGAACAAAAGGCAGAGACCCAAGGCCCACATAATAAATAAAAGATCTGCTATATATACAATACTATGAAGAGAACCCAGGTCGCCAAACTAGAAATGTTGTCTTTCGTGACAAATATTCATATTCTATTCATATTTTCATATTCATAATAATATTTAAGGAAATCAGACTTTTCCATTTAAGAACATTTTTGTGGTTTTTTTTTCTTTTTTTGTTGTCTATTCATGTTCAGTCACATTGAGCATGAATAGACTTCACTATTCAGTGTGATTATGAAAAAAACAGTACCCTCTCTCAGTTTATTGTCATACAGACTGAAAACATATTGACCCATTTTTCACTTTACTTAAATGTTGTTTCTCTGAATTTGTTGTTCACAGGAAGCTCTCAAGGTTTGGTGAAAATTCATATTATTTTATTACTATTATCTTGTCTCTTTACTTTTCATAACCTTTCTGCTGCTGCTGCGACCTGCACAGTTTATATATATTCTTAATACCATGTACAGTTCAAAGATGATTTATTGAAAAAAAATGACATTTATAAAATGATGACCATTGGCTAACATTTTGTTTACAGGACAAAATGCACACATGATTTGACTGATTGGTTCATAACTGTGAAATCCTGATTTCACGATTGTGCTTGTTTGAGTGCTTTCTGACACAAATCTTTAAACAATAAATGAAGAGAGATGGATCCCAGAATGCTTGTTTTATATCAGTGTCCCTTTGGCAACTTCATTGCTTTTTTTCTCTAACTGTTAAGCTGAATGGTTCCTGGGATAGATGAAAGAAAATCATATCAGAAAAGAGCTTGGGCAAAATAAAATGTTAATTTTATCACCTTATACAGACACCCTAAAAAGATAGTTCTGTCCAGTTTAACAGCAAACAAACTACCAAACAATGAGTAAGATCATCACACTTGGAAACAGGCAAAAAAGTATGTAGCCAGCTTTTAAATTTGTCTCGTATTTAGGTTAGTTTGATAGTTATAACATGTTTAACCACAATTATTAGTAATTGTGAGACCCTCCACTCCCAGGTTCCATTAGACACAGTTTATAAATGCTGAGTCTGTACATTGTGATAATGTTTCCCCTTTAAACTGCACTGTGGTCATTTCCTTTCAGCTCACATCTTTGCTCTTCTATTCACTTTTACTCTAACTGTGATTTTTCACTTCACTGTCTTACGGATGTCAGTTATTTGACTTACTGAAAAGTAAGAAAACATATTATACTTTTTTGATACTGTTTTTGGTTAGACTTGTCTCTTCAACATCTATTTTAGTTTGGTTAGTATGAATCACTGCCACTGTTTATCATTTTTTGTGTGTGTCATCATAGGATCACCCCAGGGCTGAGTACGAATTCAAAGTAATGCAAAAGTCTCTAAGGAAACGTCAAAAGTCCCAGGACAAGGTAAACACACTCTATGCTGTCCATGAAAATCTTTTATTATCAAAGCTGCGTGTATCATAAGGTTATTGAGTATTCTAGTTGTATTTTACTTTAAAACTGTTTTGCCGAGTGCTTTAGTTTGTGCATAAAAAGGGTGTCTTATGTCAATATACCTACATTTGCTTTTGCAAATGCTTTTAAACATCTTGCAAGAGCTGACACTTTGCCATGTATTTGTATGTTTGCATTGTGTAATCTAATGCTTTTTTGTGCCACTGTTTATTGCACAGCCCACAGGAAAACATTTTATCACCAACAATCTTTTCAAAACATTATGAAAAGCAGTTATATTTGCTTTGTGCACAGAACTAAGACTGCACATTTACAACATATTTAGCACCAATATTTATGAGTGTGCATACCTTCTATTCTGTTTGCCTTGCCTAACAATCACACACCGTAGATGGGTGCACTGGGGGCAACTCAGGGTTCAATATCTTCCCTAAGGCGAGTTCAACATGCAGACTGGAGTAAGCCAGGGATTTGCCCCTCTGCTATCTGAGTCACAGCTGCCTCTAGCTAATGTAATAGTATCTTACTAAATAACAGAGCACTTTACTCTTAGACTGTGGCCTTACTTGTATTCCTAAAGTATAATAAGAGCCTTGAGCTAACAGCTCCCTAATAGTCCAAGCATTTGTTTGCCATTCATGTGAAATCGCTCTGAATCAGTTTCCTTGATCTTTCATTTAGTTTTTTAGTTTTGCTCTCAGAGAATCAACACCTCTAAAAGTGAAAGTTGGTTTCTGATTATATTTTTGTTTGACATGTTTTGGTTCATATCAGACTCAAGAAGCAGGCTACCACAGACACTGGCAACTTTAGAATGTTTATTGAAACACAACAGGATGCGTACTGCCCAGAGTTCTGTCAATGAGCTTAAGGAACTCTCGACAGGGGAGCGACGGTGGGCTCTGTTTGTTAGAGTCTGCAACAGTCTTTCTTGAGAGAAATCCTCTGAAAATTCAGGGGCTACTCGGTTGCCTAGAGGGCTCCCAGAATGGCAAAGAGGAGGTACATGGAGAGGGGATAAGTGCTTCCCTTACAGGTGACTGAGCTATCGTCACCTGTAAGGAGCTTGTGGCTTGGAGGTAACAGATTTCTGGGAATCAATTGATCTTGGCATCAAGTGGCGTCCCTTTAACGGAGGCCTCCTGCTGGCCTGGCCTGTCAGTGATTAAAGCAGCATCCTTATTTCAGGCCTGTTGGTATTGTTGAGCTGGATAGTGCATTCCTTGTACCAGGCTGTTGATTTCCTTTTTTTGGAACTTTCTCTTTGTCTTTTATGCTTTCTTAATATGTTGTGTTGATTTTAATACATTTAAAAGTATGACTGTGGTGACATTACATGTCATGTTTGACCTGAGTTAATTTTTTTTACTGTTTTATTATTTACTTGTTTCAGATAGAAAAGCTTACATTTCAGGACCGTCTGCCTGCCTACATGACTAACATCGTCATGATGTTGTTAATGGTAGGAAAAATCTTATTCTCTGCATATACTGTACATCACTGATGTTATGTTTAAAGGTGAAAAACCCTTTTACTCCTTCAGATTGGTGTTACATTTGCCATTGTGTTTGGTGTGATCCTCTACCGCATCTCCACCAAAGCTGCTCTTCATATGAGTTCCAGTCTGATCACAAGGAACCATGTGCAGCTGACAGTTAAAACCACTGCAGCCATCATCAACCTTGTGGTCATCCTTATACTGGATGAGGTATATGGAGCTGTGGCACGATGGCTTACTGTATTAGGTAAGTTTTGTATAAAACCTATCATAGCTACTGTATACCGCCCCCCCCAAACCTAACCCTGTCTTCCTCAGTGACTTTGCTAATCTACTAACCCATCTTTCATCTCTCTCCCCAAATGTGATCTTGGTGGGAGATTTCAACATTCACATGGACAATAATGACCTTCTGCTCAGCAGAGACTTTTCCTCCTGTCTCGAAGGCTCTGAATTTAAACAATTTATCGACTTCCCCACTCACTCTAAAGGACACACCCTGGACTTGGTCTGCTGTTCTGGTCTCACTCTCTTGAATCTTTCTGCTACTGAAATCCTCATAACTGACCACTTCCTCCTTTCATTTAACCTCACTCTCTGCTGCTCTTCTACCAAGCCAACCCGTCTCATCTCGTTCCGCAACATCAAGAACATTGATATGGACATTCTCACTACCAGTTTGGACAATGTTCAGATTCCGGACTTCTATTCTACTCCTGATGATTTGTTGTTATATTATAATAATTGTCTACGCACTGTCCTTGATTCTCTGGCTCCTGTAAAAACCCACTCTGTTTCCTTCGCTCGCTCTGCTCCCTGGTTTACCTCTGACCTCCGAGCTCTGAAGGCCAAAGCTCGGCAGCTAGAGCGTAAATATAAGAAATCTGGTTTAACTGTTGATTCAGAAATCTATAAATACCACGTACTTCAGTATAAAGACTCCATTAACAAGGCCAAACAAAGCTTCTACTCTGGTATTATCAGTTCTTATGAGGGTAATGCAAGGACTCTGTTTTCAGTTTTCAACAAACTAATTCAACCCCCCAACGCTTTACCACCGCACTTCTATTCCTCTGAAACATGCAACTCCTTGATGCTGTTCTGGACTACGAAAATCAATAACATCCACCAGCAACTCAGATCAAATGTTGTGTCTACGCCCTCTCCAGAACCTTTTCTCCTTTTTGAGCCGTTTTCCACTTTTCATCTTCCTGATTTATCTGATATTTCCGAGTTAATATGTAAATCAAAGCCTGCCACATGTCATCTTGACCCCATGCCCACGGGGCTTGTGAAATCCTGCCTCTCTTCTTTACTCCCACTCATTTCTGCTATCATTCACTCTTCTCTCACCACCGGTATCGTTCCCTCCTTATTGAAGACTGCTCTAGTCACTCCTATACTGAAAAAACCTTCTTTAGATCCTAACAACTTTAACAACCTCCGTCCGATTTCCAATCTACCCTTCATTTCTAAGATACTCGAAAAAGTGGTTGCAGCTCAACTTCATTTACACCTGGTTAATAATAACATCTACGAGAGATTTCAATCTGGTTTTCGCTCATGTCACAGTACCGAAACTGCTCTACTTAAAGTCACTAACGATCTTCTAATCGGAGCTGACTCTGGTCTTCTCACCATTCTCGTCCTTTTAGATCTGAGCTCAGCCTTTGACACCATTTCTCACTCTGTCCTTCTAAGCAGACTTTCCTCTCTCGGCATCTCTGACACACCCCTCGTCTGGTTTCAATCATATCTCCTCGACCGCTCCCAGTTTATTCAACTAAGATCATTCCGCTCTCGTCTATTCCCCGTCACCTCTGGTGTACCCCAAGGCTCAGTTTTAGGCCCTCTTCTCTTTATAATATACATCCTCCCTCTAGGTACCATCTTCCGCAAATTTGATCTTCAGTTTCACTGTTTTGCTGATGACACCCAGTTATATCTCTCTTGCAAACCTGATTCCTCCCTCCCACCTTCTTCCCTTACAGAATGTCTATCCGAGTTAAAATCCTGGTTTACCTCTAATTTTCTAAAGCTCAATGAGGATAAAACTGAGATCCTCCTTATTGGCACCAAATCCAACCTTTTGAAGGCAAACCATTTCTCACTCACCATCGATAACTCCACAGTTCTCCCTTCTCCTCAGGTTAAGAGCCTTGGTGTCATCCTAGACAGTTCACTTTCTTATAAATCACACATCAATAACCTCACCCGTTCTGCCTACTTCCATCTACGTAACATTAACAGATTGCTTCCTTCTCTTTCCACCCAGTCTACGTCCATTCTTGTACATAGTCTTGTTACCTCCCGTATTGACTACTGCAATTCTCTTCTGCATGGTCTCCCCCAAAAATCCCTCCATAAGCTTCAACTGGTTCAGAACTCTGCTGCTCGCATTATCACCAGAACCCCCTCCTACCAGCACATCACCCCTGTTCTTCAGGAACTTCACTGGCTCCCTGTGAAATTCCGGATAATTTTCAAACTTCTTCTGCTCACCTTCAAGGCCCTTCATAACCTCGCTCCTTCTTACCTTTCTGACCTGTTAACCACCACTTGTTCTGCCCGTTCACTTCGTTCTTCTTCTTCTGTCCAGCTTACTGTACCTTCCTTCCGCCTCACCACCATGGGAAGCAGAGCTTTCAGCTGCTCTGCTCCCAGGCTGTGGAACTCTCTGCCCCCAGAAATAAGAAACATTGGTTCTCTCCCCCAGTTTAAATCCCAACTCAAAACTCATCTGTTCAAATCTGCATATTCACTGTGAATCCACTGTTTGTTCATTTTATCTTGTGCTTTATTTTATTGTTCTTATTCTGCCATTGTTTTACTAAGTGTTTTATCCTATTGTAAAGTGTCCTTGGGTGACTTGAAAGGCGCTCATAAATAAAATTTATTATTATTATTATTATTATTATTATTATAAAACAGGCTGTTAACTAAAGCACAAATACAGTAAGGACATTTGTGTCTGGTCAATTATTTCTTTGTCTTCACAATAATTCTTATACCATTGGAAAGCCTTTTTATATGAAACGTAAACATAAATGTTTATTACTATGTTCATACCAGTGTATGAATATCAGTTGGGTCTGGTCTATTGAGAGTAAAACAAAAACACAAGCTATCCAGCTAGAATGGCAAAAGAATAGTAGTTAGTTGATGTATCTCCAGTTCTGTGATTATGTGTGTAGCCCTCCAATGGGCTTCCCTATTAGTTATCTCTTATGCATGGTAAATGGACTGATTGTTATATAGCACTTTTCTGCTCTCCTGGAGCACTCTGAGCGGTTGATGCAGCATGCCTCACTCACCCATTACACCCATACAAGAACTTTTTTTCTAATGATCACACACATTCATCTCTGATGGATGCATCAGAGAGCAACTTGGAGTTAGTATCTTGCCCAAGGATATGCGGACTGGAGAAGCTAGAGATCAAACCACCAACCTACCGATTAGTAGATGACCTGCTCTACCAAAACACAGTATTCTCATTAATAATGTCATGAATGGCCAAATAAGAAAAATAAGGCATTTGAAAAGCAGAAGCCTCTATGCCTTTGTCACCTCAGAGGGAAGGAGAGAAAGTATGAGTCAAATCTCAGCTATCAATGCCCTCCTCATCTGAAAGGTTTTCCATGTCACTGCTAAGGCAACAAATCACTTGTGTGCAACCTTAAAAAGCAGCTGCGAACTGGTAATTTACCATATCCAGTAATCAGTTATGTAGAATCCCAAACACATGCAAGCACAGAGCTAAAATGAAATGGTAGAAACCCTCATCTAAATGCTAATGTTATGGCTAAACTGTGAATCACCAGGTATGTCCCATCCTTCGGAGGACCCGGCCCACGTAGACCGCGAAGGCCGGGTCATCCGAATGATGTGCCTATGAATTGGGACATAGCTAGCATCATGTTTTTGCAAAACATGAAACAATAAGTACTGATAATGACCACTCTAAAAGTTTAGTTAAAGGAACATCTGGGTTTAAAGGGTAGCTAGAATCTAGACTGATTTTCAGCTCCTGTTTTGTGGTAGTGGGTGGTTGGGGCGGGTGCTGCCTTACCATTTTGAGATGTGGGGCTTAGGGGGCTTGTGGTGACAGGTGCTGGCCCCAGGTGGGGTGGCTGGCCTCCTCTGCACGGACTCGGTATAGGCCTGGGACCGCACATGATTGGGTGCTTCCTTACACAGGAGTTGTCTACACCCCCTTGGTCACTCATCTCCATGGTTTGGCCCATGCAACTGTCAGGCAGGTGTTAAAATAAATGGACTGAGACAACGTGGGAAACTACTTTGTGGTCATATGAATCTAAATTTGAAATTATTCTTGAAAAATGCTGCAGCCTCCTGACTTAAGAGGATAGAAAGCATGTGACTTTTTTTTTTTATCAGCACTCCATTCAAAAGCATGGCTTTGTAATAGAAGAGTCTGGGAACTGGGCTGCCTAGACCTTTCAACAAATAAAAACATTTCAGGACTGTTTAAAGCCTGATCTTGTTGATCAGACAAGAATGAAAAGAATGAAACAACATTCCTCTCCCAAAGGAGCAGCAACTGATCTCCTCCCACATGTTGTCAAAAAGAAAAAGAAAATAATAATAATAATTTTTCTGCTCCCTTATAGAGGCTCCTAAAACTGACAAGAGTTTTGAGGAGAGACTCATCTTCAAGACCTTCATTCTCAAGTTTGTTAATGCATTTGCCCCAATCATCTACATTGCTTTCTTCAGGGGAAGGTTAGTAATCTCATAATTTATTGTTTTTGGTTTTTATTTTTTTTATTTTTTTTATTTTATCAGTTACTGTTTATGCACAAAGTTCAATATTTGATACTTCACACTTTAAACAGTTTTCCATTCATTTTCATTTTAGACTTGTAGGCAGGCCAGGCAGCTACCTATATGTGTTTGACTCTTACAGAATGGAAGAGGTAAGCCTTGTGTTTTTACAAATTAACCTCAAACAAAAGCTGTCATAATAATTTCAGACTGGACTTGGAGTATAATTGTTCTGAAGATAATTTAAACAAAATAAATACATTTTATTTTACTGCACTTTCTCCCAGTTTTCATACTAAACACATTTTTAAGTCACATCCTAGAAGTATAATGACATTTTTATTGAACAGCTTGTTCTTTCTATTTTCTGGTAAAGAGATTGTTGCCCAAAGCTAAACGACTTCACCAGAGTCAGAATCAGAATACTTTATTAACACCAGGGGACAATATAATATTACATATAATGCATAATATTAGATCAGTATTTCAGTCTTGCCTCAAAGAAAATCACAATTGTTGACTCTGAATTGGTTATACGATTGAATGAATATGCACGATTGTGTGTGTGTGTGTGTGTGTGTGTGTGTGTGTGTGTGTGTGTATAATAATAATGCACTCCTGCACATCATGTGAACTATCCAGAGAAGCACTAACACAATCTTAAAGACCACATTCAGCCTGCTTTACTTTCTAACTGGAGATTCACCTTTATATCACAAACATATTAGTTATCATCAGTCATCTTCCTCTCACTTTTTCTGAATTACAATGCTATTTCCAGAGAAAAATGCAAGTGTAAAATCTGCACTTACACACTACTCATTTCCTCATCAGATCTGCTTAGTTTTGACCAAGTCACTTAGAAAATGAAGTTGGTGCAACATTATTAATAAATTGGCATTCCAGTATTTATCACACACTCTAATAGATACACTGGGGCAACTTCCCCAAAGATATTTCAACTCATGGACTCGGGTGGACTACAGGGAGGCAGGGATCAAACCAACCTTCCTGTGATTACATGACCCAAGGTAGAGCAAGTCATTCTGCTCTGCACACTGTTGTGTTATAATGAAAATATTTACATTTCTCCTAGTGTTCCATTCTCTGAAGGTGTTTAAGGTCTAAAGAAATGTTGCTGGTCAGGACACTCTCTAAAGTGCCTTTGTAGAAAGTGGTGATGGCAAGAGTGCAAGTGCTGTTGTGTTGTCTTGACAAGAGAGGTCGTGTTTGCATACTGTGTCAGGTCATCTTTTTGCCCAGATATCCACACAGTCAGTAAAAAAAGTGCAGTTGTTGCTGTCTTTGCAACAAGAACGGGGAATACTGTCATTTTGTTTTAGGTGTACTTTTAAAAATTCCTTCTTTTCTGTGGTTGACTTTAGTGTGGGATTGTTTTACAGTGTGCTCATGGAGGCTGTCTGATGGAGCTGTGTATCCAGCTGAGTATCACCATGTTGGGAAAGCAACTTATCCAGAACAACCTTTTTGAGATTGGAATACCGTAAGTAGGATCACTTCATATTGGTTTGTTGCTCTTGCACATCACATTGTTGTAGTGTAATTGCACGAGATCTTCTTTCTATAATCACTCCTCGATATTCAGGAAGTACTTAAAAAAAGACTTATCTGAATTCCACTCTCTTGAATTCTGTGCACACTCCTACATATTGACATTTAGTAATAACAACTTTTGATATGCATATCAAACACTGTTATGTAGTGAGGAGATAATGTAACTTTTTTCTGTTCAAATGTAATCACTGGCATCATAATTCAGCTAGAAAAAGCAGAAGCCACAATGCCAATTTGAGTAAACCGTATAACACCCAAGGCTGAGGTTAGCATTGACAGCCTGTGGCAACACAAAAAACACACTCCGTTTGACTGTAGCTGTAGAGAAGGATCATCAAACCATCAAACAACTCATCTGTAGTCCAAGTTATTACTTATACATGAAATGATTGAACACAACTTATTACTTCCAAAAGTACAGCACCGACATGCCATTAGAGTGATCTGTGGCCATTATTGTTCATATATGCGTGCGTCTATATGCATTTGTGTATTCATATGTGCACATGTCTTTCAGCAAACTGAAGAAACTGATTCGATACATTCGGTCAAAGCAAGGAGCTTTTCAGGAAGAAGAGAGACAGAAGAAGTTGACGAGATATGAAACCGACCATTTTCTGGAGCCATTTGGTGGATTAACTCCTGAATATATGGAAATGAGTCAGTACTACACACTAAATATCCTTCACCACTTTGGTTCTTAAATACTAGATATGAACAAAGCAAAACACAAGTCTGTTTTCTTGTGTGCAACGATAATTTTCTATAAACACTGATGGCCGCGTGTCATTCAAAAGTCTAAATCACGACTAAAGGATCAGTTGTGAGATTATACTGATTCTTATTGTGGTTTCAAGGTTTTGAGAATTTCCATGTTAATCTATATTCTAATTCAATGCAGTTTTGTTTATTTAGAGATAGTAGACAAAAAAATGTAATTGTGTGTCTATAATATGTTTTCAGTACATTTATATTTGCACAGGTAAAGGGATATGTTGGTACTGATATTTTGCTTTGCTTTGTACAGTCATCCAGTTTGGTTTTGTTACATTGTTTGTGGCATCCTTCCCGCTGGCTCCACTCTTTGCTCTGCTCAACAACATCATTGAAATACGACTTGATGCCAAGAAATTTGTGACGGAGCTGCGAAGACCAGTGGCAGCAAGAGCTAAAGACATCGGTGGGTTATATTTAAAACACTGTGGCATGTTTAAAAATGCATGTTATTCAGGAAGGATCACAATAACAAGAGAAAATAATATTTGTTTAATTATAAGAAGAGAAATCTTATACCTGAAAACATTAGCTGACACATATTCTCATTGTACAGGAATATGGTACAACATACTGAGAGGGGTAGCAAAGGTTGCTGTCATCATTAACGTAAGTAATGTCTGCTGGTTTAATTCTTTTGACATGCTACATGCACGATCGTGTTGGTGTTAAAACTAATGTAAAAAACTTTGTCTAAGTTCATGTCCATAAACAAATTGTATACATAACAAAAATTTAGAAAGAGGAAAAAGGGCCCACACATATTCCTCAAACGCACCATGAAACACGTTTCCTTCCATGGACGGATTATGCAAACATTCACACACAGGACACTTGATTAGTTTACTAGTAAGAGGTTGGACCAGGGGTGGGCAACTCCAGGCCCCGAGGGCCGGTGTCCTGCAGGTTTTAAATAACACCCTGGGTCAACACACCTGAATCACATGATTAGTTTGTTACCAGGCCTCTGGAGAACTTCAGGACATGTTGAGGAGGTAATTTAGCCATTTGAATCAGCTGTGTTGGATCAAGGACATCTAAAACCTGCAGGACACCAGCCCTTGAGACCTGGAGTTGCCCACCCCTGGGTTAGACCCTCTTTTGCCTTCAGCTGTCTTGCAACCAGGGGTGTTGAACCCCTGGTTGCCTACTTCAGCGTGCGCGTGTGTGTGAGTGTGAGAGAGAGAGAGAGAGAGAGAGAGAGCTGGTGAATGTGGGATTGATTGATTGACTACTTTTAGTGCTCAGGTGAGTAGAAAAGTGATATCTAAGTACCAGTGCTGCAGAGTTGTTTGCTGATTGCTGAGGTGCACAGTGAATAACAGTTGCAAACACTCATCTGATTTAGTAGCTGCAGAGATCCAAACCTCCTCTGACATTAACATCTGCACACAAACTATGTGCTGGGACCTTAATGGCATTGGTTTCAGTGGTCATCTCCTGTAGGTGTAATATGTAGGTGGAGCACGAGCTCCTTATGTTTTAATGAGTTAATAGTTGCAGATTCAAAATGTTTCTGTGCTCATCTTTGGCACCAAGATCCCATATTTTACCTCTATGCCCATTTTTTTCAAAATATTTTGCCTTTTCATAAGGCATAGGGATGTCAGGTTCCTCACACTCTGCAGCACTCAGCTCCAACAGAACAAAGAAATATGATAATGGGATATAGAGATGTTGATATTGATGCTCAAATTTGGTCATAGTAAAAAATTGTTTAGAAAAGAAATGAAAAATTAAATGAAAATTTTTGCTTTAGAGTTTTAGAAATTGTGACACCTGGAATTTTGCATGTGTTTTTCATTCATGAAAAATGATTTTATCTGCCTAGTTATGAAGTTACAGTATGAGGGCTTAAAAACTATTTTAAAAAATTGACTTAAAAGTCAACCATTTTACCGCATGAGGGCTTGTAACTCAGTTTTCATCGTATGAATGTAAAAATTTGGTTTCAATAGATAAGTGTTAGGTATTATTTTAAAACAATCACTTAGTTCTGGGAGGATCAGATAAGAAATGTTCTCAGATTTGATTAATATGTATAGTTCATAAAATCAAACTAATATTCACTCACGTGCTGGCTATATGGTGCTTATATCATCTTATCTCTTTTGTAGATTGTGTTTTTTATTCTTTTTGGCCCGTCTTTCTGCATTTCCAGCCCTAGCAAAACATAAAGCTATGTTTTGCTCGATGTCAAGTGCATACTCAAAAGAAAACATTACTTTTATCTCTGTAAATAAAGAAATATTATTATTTTTGGCACTAGACCAATGAAAAATGTATCTAAAATAAGGGTTAATGGAATTGAAATTGAAAGAGTGTACGAAAATAAATTTCTTGGAGTGATAATTGATGATAAGCTGAGTTGGAAGTCTCATATAAACCATGTGAAAACAAAAATGTCAAAAACCATTGCTATTCTCTATAAAACAAAGCATGTCCTGAACAAAAAAACATTATACACACTTTATTGTTCTCTGTTGCTTCCATATATGACTTACTGTCTGGAGATATGGGGTAATGCATATAAAACGAACACTCTTCATATTTTCAAGTTACAAAAAAAAGCTATAAGAATTATAAACCAATCAAACTATATAGAACCAACTAACATTTTGTTTATTAATCTGAATACCCTGAAATTTTATGATTTAGTTGAATATAAAATGGCACAGATAATGTATAAAGCACAAAATAACTTGCTTTGCCCCAGTACTCAGAAGCTGTTCAAAGTCAGAGAAAGTCAATATGACTTAAGGGGAACAGATTTCTTTAAAAAAACAAGATAAGGACAAATATAAAGCAGAGATGTGTTTCTGTTAGAGGAGTTAACCTGTGGAATAGTTATGACAGTGATTTAAAAAGGTGTAGTTCATTTTCCTTGTTTAAAAACATGTTTAAAAATAGAGTAATAGAAAAATATATAAATCAAGAATGAAAAGAGCAAAAAGGAGAAAAAAAAACAACCTCTTGATTCTTTTGCTTTGATGTAGTTACTTATCTAAGGTGGAAAGTTTTTTTTCTTGTTTGTTTGTTTGTTTGGTTTTTGCTTTGTTTTATTATTTGCTTCGAGCACTGTGTACAGGAGCTGCATACAAAAAGATATTTTGTGAAAAGGTTGGCGTAATAAGCAAATGCTTCAGCCAATACCTTTTGATTAGCCTTGTCTCATGCTTTCTTTCTTTATGGTAGATTTTTGTTCTGTTTTCACTGTTTGTTTGTTTTTTCACTGTTTTCACTGAGATTTGAATTTGAATGCTAATCAATAAAATCAAATCAAATCAATCAAATCAAAATAAAGCAGTATTGCTGGTATTTCAGCTACAACATTCCAGTTGGTTGTATACTTAAACCTGTGTGTAGTTACAGTTCACATAGTTCATATTTGTTTCCATTTGCCACACTTCTTTTCTCTCTCTCTAATGTCCGAACCTCTGTCCCTGCTCCAGGCATTCGTTATCTCCTTCACATCAGACTTCATCCCTCGGATGGTTTACCAGTACATGTACAGTCCTGATGGCTCCATGCATGGATTTGTCAACCATACACTGTCTTATTTTAATGTCAGCCACTTCCAGGATGGCAAAGAACCCATGGATCCATCACACTTTGGCTACCCTGTTGTAATATGCAGGTAGGAAATTATTCTCAGGTTACAACTGTCATAACATTTCAATAAATGTAAAAACTTTTTGAAATAGGTATTTCAAAAAGTTTAGTTATTGTTATGCTTCTTTAAAAACCTATTTGTGAGTAAAAAGCAAATCAGTGATTTTAGATGATTTTTAAATCATTTGTGAATCAGTGCCTCCAGCAGTCAGGTTATTAATCGAGTCATTGTTGGCATTGACTTCTAAATTAAATGCAAATGAGTACAGTGCTTTACAATGAAGGAAGCTATTTTAGTCTTTATTTATTTCAATAAATAAACTCTTAAGCCCAGAGATGTGCCATTCTGTAATCCTTGCACAAGCTTTTCAATCCATTGCAATTACTCCTCTTGTCTGCATGCTGAAGCATCCCCAGACAAGGTACTGAGCCTCAATGCATCCAATGTGAGTGTATGTGAATGTTAGATAAGGCACTTAGCTTTAGAGAAAATCATCATCAAATAAATGTGTGTGTATGAGGCTTTTAGTAAAATGCACTTTAATTGCTAAACTAGACTGGAAAAGTGCTATATAACAAGTCCATTTACCATATTACTAAAACGAAAAAGAATCTGGTGACAAAGCTGTCGGCACAGAAAGAGGAAAGAAAAGCAAGGAAACACTAAGGACTGATGCTTAACAGAGACCAAGGATACAAAGCTGGCACTGGAAGTGTAAACCATAGAAACATGCAACCAAAACTGTATACAAAGACAGCAAGCGGAATTCAAATACCAAAATGTTAAGTTTGAGATAAGTTTGTGTGTCCAGCAGAAGTTACCATGGTGATTTAGCAAGTTTAAAAAGACACTTTCATGACACAGAAAAGCAATAAGTATATAAGAAATAATATAGGTGGTATAGAACTGTGCTGACAATGCTAACGCTAATGGACTTGGAAAAAAAATGTTGGATTATTCTTTCTTTCTCTGGCTAGCTTAATTGCTGTGTACAGACAGCCATACAAAAAGGGTGGCACCTATGGCAGGAGACACACCGATAGAGGGTCAAAATCACAGCAGGCCTTGCTGGAACGTAACACTGTCAGGGAGTTTCTGGTTTGTTAAACACATGTTGAGGGGAACATCTGGGAGATTGCACTACTTCTAAATTATCCCCATCTAATCATTTAGATTATATGTACTGGCCTGGTTTTGCCAGAAATTTCTTCTCAAAATTGAGTGTTAAATTGTGACCAAATGTGATACCTGTTTTTTGTCACTAAGGTATAAAGACTACAGAGAACCACCTTGGTCAAACACACCATATGAGCTATCCAAGGAATTCTGGGCAGTGCTGGCTGTCCGTCTGGCTTTTGTTATTGTTTTCCAGGTAGGTAATACATAAAGCAATTACTAGTAATGTTCTTATGAATTTATTTTATTGAATTATCACATACCTTTTAAAGAGAGGTGCTGAACTATGATTCTGACGTAGGGTCTGGTCAGAACAACCTACATTTCATTATAACAGCCAACATAAATCACCACAGTTGAGTAGAACAACCAGAAATTCAGAAACTGATCACATAGTCCATGGACAGGAACTTACTTGTAGCTGAAAAGTAAGGTCACGTCTACTCAAACTGGCAGTTCAAGGAGACAGGGAGAACATACAGGAACCTGATTGTTGTGAGGTGACCGATACCTCCTGTACCACTGTGCTGCCCTCCTATAAATCCCTAATGATAAACCTCTACTGAAGGTCTTCTGCAGTTTTCCATTTTCCAAAAATTGATACTTTTTTTTGTCCTTGAGTTGAAATAAAAGCCCACTTTCTGGTGGAGTCTGTAACTGCTCTCCTGCAGCGTCTGGCACAAATGTTCTTATTTAATCGCTTAGTATGCAGATACACGGACATGTTACAACAGTGGAGGTCTGCAGCCGCTCTCTACTTGTTGCACAGTTGAATATCAAACACTAGATAGACAAAAGTACTAAGACACCAACACATCACACAACCACAGGAGTTGCTCAGCCATGGAAACTTACTGAATCTCCTGGTGCACAGTTTTGTCTTTGTGTTAGTGCCAGAGGAGCTTTGGAACGCTCTAGTTAATATGTTTGTCCATATAGTGTATAAGGAATTTTAGTATGGTTAGTCAAGGCCAAAACCATTTAAACCTTTTGTCCTATCTCACTCTGCTCTCTTTTCTTTCCCTCACCCTCACGGGTTTTGAAAGATGGCTGCTGCTCCCTGAGCCTGGTTCTGCCAGAGGTTTCTTCCTGTTAAAAGATAGTTTTTCCTTCCTGGGAGTTGTCTGATTGCTGGGGTTTTCTCTTTATTATAGTAGGATTCTTGTCTTACACTATAAAGTGCCTTGGTGCTGTTGTAATTTGGCACAATATAAATAAAATTGAAGTGAATTGATTTACAATGAACTATATATGCCAAACGGTTGAAAGTTTTAGAAAAACATAAAAGCATGTGACCTACGGGATGTTGGGGATTCAGACTGTGGAAGTTCTGAGATTATTTTTTTGTTTTTACCAGAAGAAAAATTGCTGAGTTGTCCCATTTCTTTCATTTATTTCTGACAGAACGTTGTGATGCTCATGAATGACATTGTTGACTGGCTAATCCCAGACATCCCAAAAGATATCAGCCTGCAGATCCACAAGGAGAAGATTTTATTGGTAGAGCTGTTCATGAAAGAAGAGCAGGGCAAGAGCTATATCATTGACAGCAGCACTTCAACAGATGGAAAGGAAAACTGCAGCAAACACAACAACAACAGCAAAGTGGCGCCCCCACGCTCCCGACGGCATACCAACAGCACCAAAAGCTTCTAACAGCCATGCTAGCAGCTATGGCTAGTAGCTATTAGTTTAATTGTTGTTAGCATGTCGAAGCTTGCTATTAGTTCTCTCTCAGGACAGACTAAATTGTATGTAAATTGTATGTTTTCTTAATATTCTTAACATTCCAATGACTGGGACAGCAGTTGGCCAAAGAGATGTGAGAAAATTAAATCTGTGGCCAAATATGTTGCATGTTTTTGTTGAGCTGTGAAACTCTGTCACTCCATGTGTGCACCCTCAAATGTATTTATGTGCTTAAGAATGTCTGATTGTGTACTCAAATTAATGACTTTGTAAATCAAAATGTAAACGTGTATTCATTCTTACATGCATTACAGCTGAAATTTTTTATATAATCCTTTAAATACTCACAAATGTTAGAATATGCACAAAAATGATGACAAATTGTGTGCATAATTTTTTTTTACCAGCATACACATTAGAATCAGAAAATGTGAATTCAAAGAAATCAATATAGAAACTTCATTAAACTGTGACTAATCAAAATTTACAACCTGCTGTTAGAAAATAAACATTAAAGAGAAAACATTTTTAACTCGCTGTATGGAACAAAATTTAAATCCAGGATTTTTTTTTTTTATTAAATTCTCCTTGAATAACACAGGTCTGCAACCAAAAAACTGAATAGGATTTGTTTGACTGAAACTGGGAAAAATATTTTTAAAATTCCAAAAACCTGGTATCCTATACTTGAGTCAAAAAACCATATCCAGTAACGTTTTCTAAAAGCAAGAGAATAGAAAATGCGAGGAATTGAGAAGGGGGCGTATACTGGGAGTTTGCGCTGTGAGGAGCTCAGATGGTCCATGTCCCATTCTTCAAGACATCCCAACAGATCTATTTTGTTCAGTGGTAAGGAATCTCAGATAAATTATGCAAAATTAGTTAATTGTAATAAAATATTGATTTTTTTCATTGCTGTTGTGATTTCTTTTTAATGTAAACTCCTCATGATTTGCAAAAACACTATGTGATGGAGGGAAATTGAGATCATTTTTAGATTCAGCACCCTAAAATATCATTTTTATTTTCTTTTGCAGACCTGTGTAATCAGGCCTCATCTTAAAGAAGACCTCACTCCAATGCAGTTCACTCTCAGACTGCCTTGTTTATATGTAGACCTTTAAAGCCCAAATCATGATTTTTTATTTTTATTTTTTGGAAAATTGAGTTTTTGAGGATCCTTGTGACAATTTCTTAAGAAATGAAATTTGAATTTGCATATATTCGTTTTCATTTTTAACTTCTTTGTTACCTCCAGTTTTGGAGGTCCTACACTGATTATGTAGAAGTCTCAAATCGTATGCATCATATATGATAAATTTGCCTTTAAAGGGTTGAAAGTTGAATGTATACACCACTCTGCATTTAATCAGCATGCAATATCTGAAATTTTCTGTTTTCATCAGTTTTCAGACTACTGCAGCATATTTTAAAAGGGGTTATGTGCTGTAAAAGACAAAAGAAAGACAAAAAAGACAAAAGAAAGGTTTCATTAGAGGCATAGCTAAGTATTTTGCAGTTTGGTACAATTTGCACACTGTGGGTGCACCGTCACTCCCACCCCGTGCTGTCAGGGTTGGGAGTGATGGGGATGACAGCTCAGTGGCATCGTCTTGTCACTGAATCCTTCCACTGGGTCAAGAGGACATGCCAGAACAGAGCTGGCCTTCTTGATCAGCCTGTTCAGTTTCTCCCTTACCCAGTGGAGATACTGCTGCCCCAGCAGAGAACACCATAAAAGATTACTGATGCTCACTGATGAGTCTGGCTGGAGTCCAGTTGTTCCAGTTGTTGGAGTCCTGAGGCCCCAGTCTCCAAGCTGTCGCTGATGACTACCAAGGTAAAATTTACGGGGTCTGGCAGTACGTTATTTGCTCGGGGCAACCCAGTCACAATTTGGGCATGTACATGTGGTGACCCACAGTTGGGAGCATTTAAAAACAGTTTTTTCATCCAAATCCCAAAAGGTTGATTCTGGTAATCTGGATGTAACATTTTCAGTGGATGAAATGTTTCATCACTCACCCAAGTGACTTCCTCAGTCTCAGCTGACTGCAGGTTCCCCCAACCTTATAAACATTACATTGCAATAGTAAAATGCACTGTTTATACAATTAAAGAAATTGTTACAACAGTAGGAGTGGGAAAATCTGAATTTTGGTACATGCTGAGAAAGAAAGAAAGCACTGGTGAATTCAGTAATGCAAAAAGACTTGGACGTCCACGGAACACAGTTGTGGTGGATCAAGCCATAAAATCCCTAAACCCTAAAAGCCATAAAAATGAACAACACTTTCTGGGAGGTAAGCATATCAACATCCATATCTACCATAAAGAGAAGATTGCATTAAAGTAAATACAGAGGATTCACTGCAAAGGGGAAGCCACTCATATGCCTCAAGAATAGAAAGGCTAGATTGGACTTTGCTAGAAACATTTAATAAAGCCAGCACAGTACTGGAAAAACATTCTTTGTACAGATGAAACCAAGATCAACCTCGACCAGAATGATGGCAAGAAAAAAGTATGGAGAAGGTGTGGAACAGCTCACGATCCAAATCACATCATCTGTAAAACAGTGTGATGGTTTGAGCGTGTATGGCTGCCAGTGGCACTGGGACACTAGTGTTTATTGATGATGTGACACAGGACAGAAGCAGCCGAATGAAGTCTGAGGTGTTCAGACATACTGTCTGCTCAAATCCAGCTACGTGCAGATGAACTGATGGGAGTCGTTTCATGACATTATGTCACCGGGTTGGTTGGTTGCGGCTAATAAACTTACTGTTAGGTATTTTAGTACCATGGGAGCATTTACTGGATATTGTTTTATAGTGACATTATACAGGACAACTCTGTCATTCAATAAGGCCCCTTTGTTTTAGTTATTTTTCTCTTTGACCCAAGAATTGATGTGTGAGAATCACAGGCTGGTACAAGGTTGAAATACCACAGAGATCACTCCCTCAGCTACATTAGTTTCTAAATCTCTTAGGAGACGCCTGTTGAAGGCCAGATGGTTTGTTTCAGAATTCACTAATGAAAGAACTCTTTATTTCGTGCCTTGAAAATATGTCGCTGAGATAATCACAATTGTAGCTGAACTGATAAACTATACAAACGGTGCTTCTTCACCCAAGGGCAGGAAGACGCTCCCTTATCTTGGTCTGTACTGGTTTAAACTGAGAATGTGCTGACTCATGAATTTTTCCCTCTATATAAACTGTTGTACTTGAGAATAAAGTTGAGTCGATTTGGGAAGACAACCTGAAGCAGTCTCTGTTTTCTTGTTCTCCCAAGCTGCTCCCGAGCTCGTACTAACACGCTGAATGGCATGCTTGAATGTTACTTGAGATATTTGACTGTGTTACAGATTAAGGGACAATCTCTGCTGATAGACGCCCACGCCTCGGAGGAAGCCGATCCACGGATTAGGCCCTGGAAGCCGTTTCCTTCACTTACATTAGTTAACATCACTTTAAGGGGATTACATTTGTGCTGCCCCACTTGCTGCAACAATGAGTTTTATGTTAAGACACTGAGGATATACTTCCACCTTCACTGTCTGTCTCTTTGGCAGTAATTGACTCGTCCTATTTGGCTAGCAGCACTGAAACTCCAGTTGTTAGCTGTAAAGTCCGGCTTTGTAAAGCGCTTTATAAATGAGGACAGTGTGGAGGAGAGCCCGTTTGAGTCACTAGACCGACAAGCTGCAGTCCGACACTCCAGCTTTGCCTCGCCAGGCCGGGTGTACTGTGTGCCCTTGCTGAAAACACTTTGAAATTTATTAATAAACTTCTGACGACAGATTCAGATTTGACTTCAAAACTGCTTGTCCTCTCTTTAAAGCTTGTCCCTTCAGCAATTTCATCATAAATGCTATTTTTGAACAGTCTGAAGAAAATATCTGGCTCTGCTGGCGAAACACTAGAGAGCATTAGGTAAGAAAGCCACAACTTTTTTCTCCCAGCTTACTCCAGAATTCCTCTTTCTCTTCGGACATCCAACCTTTGGGCATATGCACTGACAAGAACATAATAATAATGTTACCTTGTAATCTTGTAATAAATATTACAAATTAAACATTAGTCTTCTTAAGTCTTTGGACTGAGATGATCCCTTTTTCATTAGTGTACATCTTTCACTTTAGATTCTGTCAAAACTGTGTTTTCTAAGACTGGATGAGGCCATTTCTTCTTTTTTTGTGTTTGGCCATTGGGTAACTTCATCTTTCTCCAGCAGTGGTCAACCTCACACTTTCCACATATTCATAGTCTTGACACTATTACAGTCTTTTTAATAATTTTTAATGTACATCATTTGGATACTTTAAATCCTATCTCTAACTATGCACTCTGAAAAGAAAAAGCTGTAAACTGGCTTATAAAAATCTATAGGTTTTCTGGTGTTGGCTGGCAGTAGTAATGGAATAGGTGACAAAACACCCAGTCACCCACTTTTCAGTTATTTATTTATAAAAAATGTTTGGAATCATGTATGATTTTCGTTCCACTTCTCACGTGTGCACCACTTTGTGTTGGTCTTTCACGTGGTCTTTCAATAAAATTGATTCATGTTTGTAGCTGTAATGTGACAAAATGTGGGAAAGTTCAAGGGGGCCGAATACTTTTGCAAGCCACCTTATGTTGTCACAGAGTTTTCGACATATAAAAGGAAGAACAAGGTGTTTTTTTTTAATGGTGCAACAGCGGCAGCACACTCTAACACATGCTCAGTTACTCTCAAAAGAATAGTCAGGCAGGAGCTACTGTTTGACCAGCGGATCAGCCAACATGCCAGTGGAACTGAAAGGGAACATTTTAGTGACAGGGGCCAACAGAGGCCTTGGTTTGGAGCTGGTGAAACAGCTGGCAGAGACGACAGGACAAGAGGCTCACATCTATGCCTGCTCCAGAGAGCCTGAAGGAAGCAGAACTGAGGTGAGACTGTTACACATAAATGCTTCTTGTGGTTCTCACATCAACTGCTAGAGCAACCCTCACATGCACACATGTGAAGGTTGACTGTGTATCATCTGTTCATTTCACTTATTTTACTTATATAGTGCCAAATCACAACAACACAACTTTGTATTGTAAATAAATTGTTATGTTGTTATTGTCAGCATCTGCAGATAACTTTATCATAACATCATCTTGTAATTATGAGAATACAACATAAAAAAAGTCATGAAAGTATGAAGAGGGGTCCATTTTCATTTTACAAGGCCTAAGCTAACCTAATAGTCTAAAACTAGTCAACAAATTTGGTATAAACATCTTTCATTTGGTTTCAAAGTGTGACGGTGTAGCACAGCTAACTCTATGGGGGTCTGGCTGCAAAACTTCTCTCGCAGGCTCCATTTTCAGCACAGAAGCAAAAGATGTAGCAAAGCTGTTGAAGGCAACTTGATATGTCAGTTTTGATCGCTACGAAACAGTGAAAAGTGTATATAAGGTCTGCAACAAATCGGTGTGCATTAGTTGTGTTCTCAATTTAAGTGTTGCTGCATTCTCCGGGTTGTTCATTTATTTCCCTTCAGTCACAGATTGTTGGACAATACATTTGCTATTGACAGTTAACATCTTAACTGTACATACACGTTCTCCTTACACTGTTGCTTTGGAATCTGGAATTCCTGATGACAAGCCTTAGATTTGTATGCACATCAATCATTTCTGTTGTGAGTCACTGGCTATAGACGTGATTTCATGGAATAACAACATAAATATTTATATATATTCTTTCTGTTCCCTTCAGGCACTGAGACAGTTAACCACCCGACATCCTGGAAAGATCACTATAATCAAGCTAGGTAAAAACAATCCGCCTTCATTTAACTCTGCATACACTTCCAACACCATTTCCAAATGTGTGCTGAAACATTTCCAATTATGACACTAAAACACTGGAGGCTCACAGACAGTGAATTCTGGAAGTGTTGCTGAGTCTATGCACTGATTTCTTACTTACAACTTCCATCCTTCGCTTCCGCTTATCCTTTTCAGGGTCGCGGGGGGCGCTGGAGCCTATCCCAGCTGTCATAGGGCGAGAGGCGGGGTACACCCTGGACAGGTCGCCAGTCTGTCGCAGGGCAACACACAGGGACAGACAACCATTCCACTCACATTCATTCGCACATTCACACCTAGTGCAATTTGGATTATCCAATAACCTATCCCCACAAGCTGCATGTCTTTGGACGGTGGGAGGAAGCCGGAGTACCCGGAGGAACCCACGCAAACACGGGGAGAACATGCAAACTCCACACAGAAAGACCCCGGCCTGATGGTGGAATTGAACTCAGGACCTTCTTGCTGTGCGGCAACAGTGCTAACCACCGTGCCACCTGCTGCCCCTTATTTACTTACAACTTAGTTATTAAAATCTGAGAACCTTCCCACTACGGCTGCACTCAGGTTTTTGATAGTGCCTTACTTTAATCTCATCAGGCCTCTCACATAATAATGGAAGTGTTGAAATATTCACTTGAGAATCTGAGATTCAAAGGCAAATACATACATAGAAATGAAACCTTTTTTTTAAACTCATAATCTTCCGCAGTTTTTTTTGACATTCAAAAGACCTTGGTCATTATGATTTGTATTTCTATGCATCTACCTGTAGATGTTGCAGATGAGGAAAGTATCTCAGCTGCTGTGCAGGCTGTGCAAGATCAGATCGGGGATGCTGGGTTGAATATCCTTATCAACAATGCTGGTATTAGGAAACCGGCCTTGTCAGGAGCATTATCTGCTACCAAGAAAAACGACATGATGGAGGTGTATGAAACCAATGTGGTTGGACCATTTACCATTGCAAAGGTTGGTTTGTTCTCTGCAGATGTGGGAAGTACAAATACTTTGTTACGCAAGTAGAATTTTCAGGTATTTGTGCTTTGAGTATTTCATGTTCTGAGAACATTGTACTTTCACTTCCCAGATTTTTACCCAAACACCTCTACTTTTTACTCCTTACATTACATTTTTGAAACAGGCTCATTTCTTAGGTTTAACATATTTGATGGGAGTTTCACATTTTTATTTCACATCTTTCATTTTATTTTATTTTTTAAATGTGCTATAATTTCACACATGTAAACTGTAAGTTTTGTACTTTCAGATGTTTCTTCCATTCCTGAAAAAAGCAGCACAGATGGATTCTTCTGCAAAGGGCAATGGTATGTATCTGTTCTTTCATGTTATGTTGAATGTAGGATACCATCATTGGGAAAACACTCAGTGGAGTGAGTACATACTTATGGTTTCATGCTCCATCTCACTGCAACTGTGACGAGGTTATTTGGTCAGAAGGTCAGTGATTTGATCCCCATAACTTTGAATTATAAGCAGGCAAAATAATTAAGCCCAAATGTCCTGTGTGCATGACAAGCAAAATTCAAAGGCACGAAATAATGTGTTGTAAATGTGTGAGTGGTACCCTGGCTTGGCAGTACAGGGGTCCATTTGAGCTTTCATATTAAAGTAATGGGATTAGCTTGCCTGATAAGAGTTAATATGAGATTATATCCAATTTACAAAAAGCTGAGTTGAAGATTTGCCTAGCTGCAAGTTATCCACCTCCTAAAGCCAGTTCAATTCAATTCAATTGCCAAATCACAACAATGGTTGCCTCAAGACACTTTATATTGTAAAGTAAGGACCCTACAGTAATACATAGAGAATCCCAACAATCAGACAACCTCTATGAGCAAGCGCTTGCCGACAGTGGGAAGGAAAAACTCCCTTTTCACAGGAAGAAACCTCCAACAGAGCCAGGGTCGGGGAGCAGCGGCCAACCAATTGCTGCAACTGGTTGGAGATGAGTGAAGGAAGACACGACAAAGACACCTTGTAGAAGAGAGACAGAGTAACGTTTAAATGGCGATTATTTTGTACCGGAATGGAAAAGTAAAGTGTGGAGGAGAGAAACAGCTCATGATCGGCATGGGCACGTATGGCTGCCAATGGAAGTGGGTCACTGGTGTTTATTAATTATCTGACTGCTGATAGAAGCAGCAGGATGAACTGAGAGTACAGGGCTGCACTCTGCTCACATTCAGACTAATGCTGCAACACTGAGCAGATGGAGCTTCATAGTGCGATCCAAAAACCCAAGATTTGCTCAAAGCAAAGAAATTAAATATTCTTCAATTGTCAATGAATGAAAGACATTAATACAACTGTTATATCCATCCATCAAGCCACTCCGGATCTTCTGGGGGCACACACAGTTTGTCAGCAGAGAGGTGTAATCTCGCCAGATCCTTTCCTGAATAGGACTAGAAAATACGACAGAATATGCAGAATTCTAGACAGTTATACTTAAAGAAGAGTGGAGCGTTTTCTCTGCATTAATACATTTACAAAAGTAAATAGATTTGAATTCTTTCGCAGGTGGATTGCATCACAGAACGTGTTGGTTGGTGCAGGTTCAGAGATGCAAACTATCCTCACACACACAGTTCTTTTCGTTTCCCAGTCATGATGCTAATCTCTTTGTCCCACTTTGTCTTAGATAATAAAACTGCCTGCAGCTCAGCCATCATCAACATCTCCACAGCTATTTCATCCATAGAGAAATGTCCAGAGACCTTCTCAGCAGCACAGATGTATCCTTATAGAATAAGCAAGGTACTGTTAAAAAGAATCAAATATCCTGACTTTCTTCCTAAACTTGTTTATTCTGTCTGTGCTTATCTTTTAGAGTTTTTCTTTACTAACATTTTAATAAGTAACTGTGATTCCATGACATAGACCAGATTCAGTGAAAGGAGCTTGACACGCAGTAATTAAAGCATCATGTGGTTCAGTTGTTTGGCTTTAGACACCTGTATTGATTAATAATTAATAATAATTTCAATAAGTGTAATACTTATATGTTTGTATTACGCTTAACAATAAAGAAATGTGCTGTTTCTCCTGTCATCAGGCAGCACTGAACATGCTGACTCGCTGTCAAGCCGAAGACTTCAAGACTCACAATATAGTGGTGACAGCCATACACCCAGGCTGGGTCCAAACTGAGATGGGAGGAGAAAAGGTGACGTGATGAAAACTTTAAAATACTTTATTCAGTGAATACATTTAAACATTATGGTTTTCCTTTAAACAGCTTTCATATGAAACAATCACATTTGCTGAAACCCACCAAATCTCTGTTACAGATTCCAGAAAGTTCTTTTAGGTCAAACAAGTACTGTGCTTATGTAAAACCTTATATCGTTGTACGTTTCACTAGACAAGCGTAATGTAAGTCCTAGCATTACATCACTGCTTGTACTAGCTCTGAGATTTATACATTTGGATGCATTATTGTAAGTTCAGGGTAAGTAAGAGCAGCTTAGTAATAAAAAGACAAACACAGCATGAAACACTCACCGATTCTGTTTTCTGATTTATTTTTGATAATCCAATTACATTTTACATAATATCAATGTTGATATGAGATGAAAGTGCTAACAACCACACCACGACCATCCTTTTCTCCAATAATGATCATTTTAAATCTCTAATCTTGAAACCGCAAACAAAAATAAACTTCATTTTTAGCGTTTAGCTTGTTAGCCTTCCCCATATTAGAAATCATAAAGCTTGTTCTGATCCAGCCGCTTCCTTTCCAGTGACTTTCTTCTTTTGTGTGTCTGTTGTCTCCCACAGGCTCCTTTGACCACCGTGGACAGCGTACTTGGCATGCTTAGTGTGATATCGTCACTTAGCAACAAAGACAGTGGGATGCTTCTGGACTGGCAGGGCAACACCATCCCTTGGTAGCTGTCATGTCAAAACCAGGCTAATAGACAATGTTTTCAGGTTAAAATTCAAATGAGAAAAAACATACACGAATATAAACATAATAAAGCATTGAGGAGGAGATTTTTTTAATTAATTTTATTCTTTTCTTTTTTTTTAACATGTACTAGAAGCTTTCTGCAAACTGAACTGCTGGCCACGGTTCACCAGAGAGGAAATGAAATGACTTCACGATCTATAATCTGGCCATGCTTAGAAATTTGTCTGTTTTCATTGCGGGGAGACAATAATTTCCTACAGTGGAATAAAATTTAATCTGAAATTTCAGACAGTATTATATGTAAAGATTCATTAATCATATTAACATCTCTATAAGCATTTCAGCCAGTAAGCAGAGTTTATAGTTTGGAGGTGGCATAGAAATGATGGTATACAGAGAAAATTAGCACTGGAATGAACAACATTTGAACTTCAGATGGTTGTTAAGGCGTCTGTGTTGTCTTTCACAAAGGCTGTGGCTTCCAAATGCTCTGTAGTAACAGATATTATTATAAACATGAGTGCTAACAGCTGGGGAAATAATTTTACTCTACATGTTTGCTTCTGTAATAAAGTGATAAACCGGTTTTGTTCCCAACCTGTCACATTCCCATTAGTCTTTCTTCAATGTCATAAAAATATAACGAGACAGTTTTCCTTTAACCTTAAAAAAAAAAAAAATCTACTAATTTTCTCTTGCCGAGAGAGAAATCTGATAGCTGACCACGTGTAGCAGACTGAGACCTTTGACCTTTATACATAGAACTGAGATCATCTTTGGTTATTAGGAAATTATGGCAAAACAGATACCTGTGCAAACTGCCTGCATTTTCTCAGGTAATTCCAGTAGTGAGTCTGACACTACGTATCATTTTCAACTATTTAATAAAAAATACACAATATGACGAGACCAGAGAAAAGGAAATGCAGGTTTAATTGCATTTGCTGTCTTTAAACTCTTTCATTCCTTTTGACTTTTACATGCCTATTAAAAAATACATACAGTTTTCAAAAATAAAATAAAATTAAAATAAACATCTTAGATGGCGTGGAAATAATCGCATCTGCAGTCCCGCACCTGCACGGCTATGTCGGCATGTTTTGGCAGCAGCGTTGTGTGCTCGGGGGGAACCGGATGCAGAGTGGACAACTCAGCGAGCCTCAGACGGCTCAGACACACACGGCGTGCTCCTGTGTGGGGTTTGGAAAGTTTGCCTGTATTGGGGATGGAAAAGCATTCCGACATTCGACAACACAGAGTCATACATATCATCTGCAATTTACACATCCATAACAATAATTATATTAGGATCGAGAATCAGAGCCATATTACATTTTAATTATACGGTATAGCAATATGACAGTTACTGATGTTCTGTCTAAAAACTACAGTTATGTTCCCATCTTTTCTTACGTGTATGCACTGCAAGTGCTATAGTCTTCTTTTTTCTGATTTTCTGAATACATAGGTAACTTAAATATTTACACTGATTATTTTACAGCCTATGTCCCAGCCCACTGACGAGAAAATGTTTTTTTTTTTTGTCTAGAATAAAAAGTGCAGAGTGGAGATGGGATGAAATGGTCCCAGTGAAAGGCAGCACAGGGAGGAAGCGAAGGATGGGAGTAAAATTGGTGCTCCCGGTCCGAAACAGGGTCCCAGACCCCAAGGACAGGATCACTCAGGATTTCCATGCATGCCAGGACTGTAAGAGATAGCAAGCCTCATCCTGTAGAGGCACACGGGACTCCTCACACACCTGAAGGGTGTTCAGGGTTTTGTGCAGCACTTTGTGATCCAGCAAACTCCAGGTTCTCCTAGTTAGTGCTGTATGGGGTACAGAGGGTTGTCTGCCCAGTGTTACTGCGAAGATTCACTGCTCCGAGGTTCTGGAATATTTCAGTCACTGTTTGGTTTGTTTTCCTCCTCCCCCTCTGCCTCTACATCACTAAGAGCTGTCCCAGAACCATCCTTAAATGCTGAGTACACCCTGCAAGCTCCCTCACCTTCTCTGTCATCTCTCTGGAGGCTCCAGGGGAAGGATACTGAAGTGCTGCTGTCTTCGTACTGATCACAATGTCTTTGAGTTTTTCACAGAGGCTGTTGCTGCTTTGGGCTACCCGTGCCCTCACTTCTGGAGATTTGGCCTGGCGTGACAGCGTGTCACCAATGAAGACCAGCTTGTGTGCGCTGAGAATGACAAACTTGCTGTGTGCCACAAAGATCTTTGGTGGCTGGTTTGAGTTGACAGCAGTAAAAAAGGCATCGATGGCATTTGTCACCGTGGTGACGTTCTGCTCGCATTGCTCTTGATAGAAGAGAATAAGCTGACGGTCACCGTGGCACAACTTGGAGGAGGCGGGGCCTCCAGAGCCGTTCTGGGCCAGGTAGTTTGCCAGAGAGTTGTGTGCGGATGGAACCCAACCGGTCATGTCGTTGTTGATTGGCCGGCTGACCTCCTGCTCCAAACGCTCAAACTGTTTAATCTGGAAGATGATAAAGAATGAAGACACAGTTAATAACTAGAATCTGCAATGACAACAAGTTAGAATTTCTTTCCGTTGTTTTAAATTGTCCAACAAAAGTCCTCTCTGAGATTTGTGCCTGTTCTGTTCATACTGACCTACTAAATACTAAAGCTCTGGGTTGCACAAAACACTAAGCCACCAAACTCTGACAGATTTTACTTTCTAGAAAAGCTGCCACTAAAAACTCGTACTGTTTTCTATTTCAGCAAGCAACAGCTAAAAGTGAAAAATCATATGTTGGCCAACGCTGCTGGCTGCTGGAGCAGCAAGCAGTCCTGCTCAGTTAGGGCCTTTCTGTGTGACATTTGCTCTGCATTTTCACGGCCCTCCGTAACTCTGGCTTACAAATCAGGGAGGTTAGATTAACTGATGAGTCTAAATTGCAGGCAGAGAGTGCACAGAGTATAATAAATAATGAATAATTAAATGAATGCGGGCTGTAGTGTAAACAATTTGGAGCAATGGCGTTTGCTCTGAAATCTGGGTTGTGTTCGAAGCTTGTCGGTTTCCTTTGTTCATTGTTGCCATGTGAAAGTTCGCACTCCCACCTCCAGTGGGTCACTTGTAGTGATGAATCCAAATCCAAATCAAAAGAATTTCATACACAGTTCAAAGCTTTGTAACAAATGTACAGTGTGTGTGTGTGTGTGTGAGCTGGTGTTGGAGGTCATTTGTCCCTCAGTTATTAAGAACCACTGAAGCAGTTTATTTGTTTACTGTTATTTGGTCTGACTTTGTCAAAGAAATGTAAGAACCAGTAAGGCACAGTGAAGGTAGAGGTGTAGCGTAGGAGACAGGAGGCAGCTCGCGAGGAGAAGCAGATGGTCCACCGAAGCTCGGTGTTTTGATCCTCAGCTCCTCCGGTGTCCTCACACTGAGGTGTCCTACAGACACGTACCTGCTGCTGCTCCAGCTGTGTCTTATTGTTTCGGATAATGTTGCCTTTCTCCAGCAGCTGTCGTTGGTTCTTCTCAAACTCTTCCTTTCCCTGACAGATCAGCATATAGACACACAGTTAGTACACTACATGTACACCCACCCATAGAGACACACACACCACTCAATCTAAAACACGTCTTTGTTGGTGACAAACAGGAAGTGATCGATCAGTGCTGGAGCACCATTTTCCCTCTTATATTTTTCTTAGTCTTGCTAAAATACTCGTCAGAGATTTCTTTGATTAGAAAAAGTGTAGTACAGTCCTACAGCCTCACTTGTAATGTTTTCACTGTTTAATGAGTATTTGGTATTTTTTCCTGAAGTGTTGTTTCAAACAATGTGACATACCATAGTAAACACAGTAAAGAATAATTCTTAAGTCATGGCTGTGTAAGTGGTCAGAACCAAAGTGTGATCAATTCAATTCAGTTTTATTTATACAGCACCAAATCACATCTGTTGCCTCTACCCACTTTATATTGTAAGGTAAAGACCGTACAGTAATACATAGAGAATCCCAACAATCAGTCAACCCCCTGTGAGCAAACACTTGGTGAAAGTGGGAAGGAAAAACTCCCTACTAACAGGAAGAAACCTCCAGCAGAACTGGGCTCAGGGAGAGGTAGGAATCTGCCATGAGCCCAGTTCTTTCTCTGGTGGAGAGACAGTGCTAACGACTGCACCACTGTGACACCCATGAACCACAGAGCGTTTTAGGAAATAGAGAGCAGCTGCTCACAGAAAACTCAGATTCATTCACACACTTGTACCAGTTAAAGCTGCAATTACAGAGGAGACTTTTTTTACACAGAGCCGTGATTTGACATTTCGTTTCTGCAGGGAAACACTCATGACGCATAGCAAGGCTTCATGTGATGGTCTTGGACATGCAGGGGGTTTTAGGAATTAAGTGCAGCAAACATTAAGTCCCTGTAGTCAAACAGACAAGTTTAAAGACCAAACAATGATTGAAACCATTATGGCCGAGTGACTGGACCTGACGACTAGTGAAACAGTAAGTCTCTTGGGACACTCAAGCCAGCAGTAGTGAGTAGCTGCTGTAGAAGCAGGAAAAATGGTGAACTGATATGATTCTGCTTATGTTATTTATATACGTAGGCTGTCTCTCTCTACCACCAGCCTCCTATAACTGAATCATTAGCAGATGCTTCAGATGTATCTCAGCTCTGTGGAGCTTTGGGAGCTCTGGTACAATCAGTGCCAAATCTGAGCGGATTTTCTAAATGTGCTAATGTAAACATACAGTCACACTGCCAAGCTAATATGTGATTCCTGTTATTGTAAAGGGCTCAAATCTGTGTCTGTGTGTACCTGCAGATGTACGTAGTCATAGTCCTCCATCCATCCTTCCTCTGTGGTCTCATATGGTCTCTCCACACCTTCCTCTTCTTCTGCAGCAGTAAACTTTGGTGGGGAGGGAAGGGGCCGTGACTGAATGTTCACTTTCTCCCCTCCTTGATAGCTTCCACTTCCAGATCCTGTTGTGTGACCACTAAGCTCCCCTGGGATAGGAGGAAGAGGCATTTGCTGCTGGCGAGTGGTCTTTTTAAAGAGCAGTGAAGCGTTGCCATGGAGAAAAGAAGCAAGCTGCTTGGCATCATCAGGGATACCTCGCGCCGTCATGATCAGTCGATCTAAGTCATCCCCTCCCGGCGGTGGTGCTGTGAGTGCTGCGTGTGACCAAGAAATAGCGTCTAAGCTCTGACTATGTCGAATCAAATTCTGGAAGATCTCCTCCATCTTCCCGACCTGGCGGCCCAGTTTGGCCTGCAGTGAGCGGTCTGTGGCCTGGGCAGCATTCGCCACGGCGCCTCGGGCAAATTCTAAGAAATCTCGGACAGTGGTACGCACCCTGTCGGCAGCCTGATGAATGGCTGGGAGGTTTCCTTCAAGATGAGCCGGGCTTCTCCAGTTGCCTGTGATGAATGACATCATGAAGGAAACACTGGACTCAACAGCTTGCTGAAGACGAGACAGACGTTCCATGGCCTGATCCATTTCCAAGACCAGGGGTTTCCCTGGAATGGAGCCAGGAGCAGGAAGCGAGGTGGTGTCGCGGACAGGAACCATATCTAATGAAGAAGCAGAGTGGTTGCTCCTTGTGCTTCCTGTGCTTGAGGCAGACAGCCGCTTGAAAGACATGGACAGCTCTTCACTGGCTGATTGGGCATCACGTACAACCTGCAAAACACATTAGCGTAGCATTAGAATCAAGTCACCCATTTCCTGATTGTGTGCTAAGCTAACTGTGTTAGTTTCATCAGTAAAACAATCATGCATTGATGGTCTTATTATTTTTTTTACAAGGAAACAAGACTAAATAAATAGATAAATAAAATAATACATACACGTTATTACAGAGAGAATAAAAGGAATAATAAACAGAAAATTATTTGCAAATGACTGAGGAGTAGAAAAAAAATCAACCGATCCACAGTTAAACTGACAATTACAAAATTGTGAAAACCAGCAGGCCTGCAAAGCAGCCCTTCATTAGAAACCACGAGCAATGCCAGACAGCAGAGACGCTAGCTGAACAGCAGTCACAGCTTGGATTAAACAGCAGCTTTTAATAACGGCTGGATTTACTGCCAAGAGTGGGGTGTATTATTCATTTAATCTGATGGCATCTTAAGTGTAGGCTTCATGCATGAATGTGCAGCCGTGGCACGACTTATAATGGCAGCCTTAATAAGTCCGACCTAGTCACATCACATTATAGGCATGCAACATATGACTACATGTCTTTTATGCATCTTTGGGTTACTTAGCTCGCTGAAATTGTTATCAACTTGGCTCCACAACTTCACATTAATTCTAGCCTAAAATGAATAAACGATAACTGAAACACTATTTTGTGTTAAGCCTTCAATGAAGACTATGTTTTCAGGTCAGGTTAACACACTACTAATGTTTAAACTCCTGGGTTTGTACACAATGTTGAGCTTCTTGGTGAGATAAACCTGAGTTTATCATAACTGCAGCATCATACAGCAGCTGGAGCCGTTCATTTTCATTTTAAAAGTAAGACAGTTTGTG